TTTTTAGCACCTTATTCATAATACCCAAAAACTGTAAACGACCCAGTTGTACTTCAACAGGTTGATGGGTAAACTGCGATACATCCACACCATAGAATACTACTCAGCAATGAAAAAATAAAACTACTGAAAAGCTTAGACGAATCTCAAGGGAATTATGCTGAGTGAAAAAAATCAATCCCAAAAGATTATAAACTGTATGTTTTCATTTACATAGCATTCTTGAAATAACAAAAATATAGAAATGGAGAATATATTCATGGTTGAAAGGAGTTAAAGAGAGAGTGCAACACGAGGAAGATAACTTGGTTATAAAAGGGCAACATGAGGGATTCTTACAGCAATGAATCTTAACTGTATCAATGTAAATATCCTACTTGTAATATTACGCTATAGTTTTGCAAAATGTCATCATTAGGGAAAACTGAGTAAGATGTACAAGAGATCTGTATTCTTAAAATTTCATTGAATCAATATCTGAAATGTAAAGTTTAACAAAAATAAAAAATTGATATCAAATAGCATGTACCAAAATAAAACCAAGCACATCAGTTTTCTCCACTGAAAGAAGTAAATGCTTTTTTATTCCGTCTGATATCATATGTCTAAAAATTAAAAAGTAAACCAGCAAGCAGTAGAGTATAGTTTGTCTTGTGTGGAAGCAAATAATACTGACAAATGTGCAAGATGTATATATGTCTCAAATGTTTCAGCAGTTTTCAATATAATTTACTACATAATACAATATGCAATGTATATCACAATATGTAGTAATACTACTCTAATAGCAGTTTGTTTGTATTTTGAGACAGTCTCGCTCTGTTACCCAGGCTGGAGTTCAATAGTGCAAACTCAGCTCACTGCAACCTCCATCCCCCACCCTGGGTTCAAATGATTCCCCCGCCTCAGCCTCCTGAGTAGCTAAAATTACAGGAGTGCTCCACCACGCCCAGCTAATTTTTGTATTTTTAGTAGATACAGGGTTTTGCCATGTTGGCCAGGCTGCTCTCGAACTCCTGACCTCAAGTGATCCACCCACCTCAGCCTCCCAAACTTCTGGGATTACAGGCATGAGCCACTGCGCCTGGCCTCTAATAACACTATTGACCCATTCAGTGACCAAATTCTTGGTTTTGAAACTACAGATGCTCAAGGCCACATGCTCCCCAAAATTTCTACTGAAATCTACATAAAGAACTGAAAAATGAGTGAACTGATTATGGATATCCATGCTGTGGCCCAGGCATGGATTACAGGCATGACCCACTGCACCCAACCAAGACATAACTTTTTTTGTCTACTGCTATTCCCAGAGTCTAGAACAATGCCTCACACGATAATTATGTACTGAATAAGATGATGTTTACTAATATAAAATAACATTAAGCTCAAAGCAAATACCAGCAATGTTTTTTTATGCAGTACTAAAATTATATATTGCTTTGTATGAAAACGTTTTCGTTTTACATGCCAATGTAAATTTACATAATTATCATATAATTAGAGTACACTCCCTTATAAAGAGTATTTATATAAACACTTTCTTTCAAGTGTCGTAACTTAATTATAATTACCTTATTTAAAGCATGTCCAACATGAGGGTCACCATTTGCATAAGGAGGTCCATCATGAAGGCAAAATTCTGTCTTTACTTTTCTTTCTCTTTGCCATGAATAAAGTTCTGAAAATCCACATTTCTGTTTAAAAAGAACAACGATATCTAAACATCATATAAATACATACTCCTGAGTCTTACAAGAAATAACAGCCAACACTTGCTTATTTCCATTCCAATTCCATTCCAATCTATTCAACTCTGAAATACAAGGTGAGGTTTCTGAAATGTGTGTCTGAGTACACATCTCTTAAAACCTTTCAGTAGTTTCCCCACGCACCTCAGACTGAAGTCTAAACTCTTTATATGACATGCTGGACCCTCCAAAGGTTTAGTACCACTAAGTTCTTGGGCATTCTCTCATCACTCCCCATCCCTGCCATGTTGAAGGACCTACAGATTCCCAATACACACATTCTTGCTATTCTTTGGCTGCAATGCTTGCCACTCCCAAAATCTGGAAACAACATGTATGGCAGTCTCACTTCCGTTCCCTCAATTTGCTGTGTGATCTTGGCGAAGTTACTGTGCACTTACGAGCCTGCTTTCTCATCTGAAAAAAAATGTGTTAATAGCATCCATAGTACAGGGCCGGTGTGAAGATTAAACAAGAAAACATTGGAAACTGTCACTCTGGCATACAGAAGGTAATGAATAAAAACCCTTTAAAAAATCAGATGAACTCTGGGCCAGCACAGTGGCTCATGCTTGTAATCCCGGCATTTTGGGAGGCTGAGGTGGGCAGATCACCTGAGGTCAGGAGTTCCAGTCCAGCCTGTCCAATATGGTGAAACTCTGTTTCTACGAAAAATACAAAAATTAGCCAGGTGTGTGGTGCACACTTGTAGTCCCAGTACTGGGGAGGCTGAGGCAGGAGAATCGCTTGAACCCAGGAGGTGGAGGTTGCAGCGAGCTGAGATCATTCTACTGCACTGCTGCCTGGGCAACAGAGCAAGACTCCATCTCAAAAAAAAAAAAAAAAAAAAATTAGATTAACTGTCAGAATATTTAGCTAAGTATATTAACCAATATTCCAAGAATACCAGAGATTTTTAAAGACTGGAATTACAGAAACCAACAAGAGGAATCTCTGCCCTTGGAAAGTTCAGTCTAGGCTGAGCACGGTGGTTCACGCCTGTAATCCCAGCACTTTGGGAGGCCGAGGCGGGTAGATCACTTGAGGTCAGGAGTTCAAGAGCAGCCTGGCCAATATGGTGAAACCTTGTCTCTACTAAACATACAACAATTAGCCAGGAGTCGTGGCATAGGCCTGTAATCCCAGCGACTCGGGAGGCTGAGGCATGAGAATCGCTTGAACCCGGGGGACGGAGGTTACAGAGAGCCAAGATTGCGCCATTACACTCCAGCCTGGGCGACAGAGGAAGACTCTCTCCAAAAAACTCAAAAAAAAAAAAAAAAAAAAAGGCTTAGTTTAGTAGAGGCACAGTCTAAAGACTCTGAGCAAGTACTGCTACTTTATATTTCAAACGAGTCATAATTTCAACTAGGGATCTAAAGAACCCAAAAGGTGGACTTCAGCTTCCCCCTCATTCACCATAATTGAGGTTTTAAAGGTTCTATTTAAGCCGGGCGCGGTGGCTCACACCTGTAATCCTACCGCTTTGGGAGACTGAGGCTGGCGGATCACCTGAGGTCAGGAGTTCAAGACCAGCCTGACCAATGTGGTGAAACCCCGTCTTTAAAAAAAATAAATAAAATAAAACAAAAAAGGTTTTATTTAAGAACGAGGTGGAGGGGGGAGGGGGCCAGCCAATATAGTCTTGAACTCTTGGCTCAATTGATTCTCCTGTCTTGGCCTTTCAAAGTGCTGGGATTACAGGCGTGAGCCACTGCGCCCAGCCTAGGTTTTTATTTGCATGTGGACATGTGAATTTACTTTTTACAAGGCATTGGAAAAGTGCCCAAAGTTGATCTGTTTTGCCTACGGGAGAAATGGGGCATAGGTGCGATACATGCTGGTACCTGGGTATCGCTAGTGTCCCCCTTAATTTCCCGCCCCAGAACCTGCTACAAAGGAGGGACTCATCTAAAGATTTCTACACTTAGGTTTTGAGCCCACAAAATCCGTGCGAGGCAGATGAATTCCACCAATCTGGTCACACCCCCGCCCACCCGCACCGGCGTGGAGCGCAGAGGTGTGGCTCCCGCCGAGCGCCAGGAGCCCGCGGCTGGGTCGGGCCTCTCTGGAGGCCCCGCGCCGAGGCAGCGCCCGTACCTGCTGGATCTCCAGTTCCGTGTCCGGCTGCTGGCGGCCCAGCAGCTTCATGGGGAAGGTGGTCTGTGGTAGCAGCACCGTGTCCCGGTATCTGCCGCTATTCGAGTTCGGCTGGTGGTTACTGGCCCCGGAGACCGACTGCACCAGAAGCCTTTTCGTCGCCTGTAGCCATCCCGGGCGGCAGGGAAAGCGAGGCGTCCCCCACAAACTTCGGGCCGTGGCCAGGGCCGCGGCCCCAGGCCCGCGAGGGCGCAGCCCCCAACGCATGGTCGGGCTACTCCTAGGCGTGTGGTCCTCCGCTCCCGCCCCGGCTGGAAGGGGCAGGACCCCCGGAAACCTAGGAGAGCCGAATAAAAGGGCGCACGCGTCGGGGAAACGGAAGGGGCGGGGAAGAAGCGGGTAGGGGCGGGGGACACCGCCTTCCAGGAGTCCGCGGAGACGGAGCCACCTCCGGGTCCTCCCTGCAGCCGCCGGGGGGCGGGCCCAGCTTCACGGGGGCTGGGAAAGGTGGGGCTTATATTCCAATCACTGTGCCCTCCTTTTTAAAAATACAGTTATTTTAATTTAACACAACATAGCTATTGCATCACTTTAACATGTAGCCAATAAGAAGTAAGATATTTTACGTATTCTCTTCATACGAAGCCTTTGAAATCTGACGTGTACTTTGCACATGCTGCACATCTCAATCTGGACTAAACACATGGCAAGGCCCCAGCAGGCACACTTGGGTCATGACTACCATTGTGGGCAGCACAAACTTCAGTGAAAATATTGTAAAACAGTAAAATTTCAGCAAATCGAGTTTTACAGATCTAGTTGGCTAGAATTAGATATTCCTAAACCTTTCTACAAATAGGATCTCTGATGAGCTGAGGGGGCAGGGTGAGGTTTATAGACAGAAAAGGCTGAAGAAAGGAGAAACAGGGAACGAAAAGCAGACGACATTTCAAAGTTACTTGGCTTAATGGATTTGGCTATCATCTCTCCTGATTTCCTGGAACTCAGACCTTACAAGCAAACATCCTAGTGCCGGAGCTCAGTCCAGATCAATGACTTCCCATAAATTTTAACAATATTATAAAACAATCTGACTTTTTTAAAGATTCCCTAAATCCCTGTTATATCTCACTCATAGAACAGTGTACTATGTAAAGCAACTTCTGCTCCTGTTTCTGACAGATTCTGCTCTATGTGGTTATCCAGTTCATAATAGTTCACAATTGTTACCATTTCATTGTAGAGTATACCTCTTGGGAATAGCCTTCCTAATCATAAAACACAACATCCAAAACATTTAGTTCACATAAATAAGAAGGACTGACTTTCTACAAACATGAAAATATGTATATACTAAAAAAAAGATAGCATAAAATGAGAAACCAAATGGCAGATAGAAAGCACTCAATCAATGTCAGCCTTTCACCAGTCAAAGACTCCAGCTCTGTACCTGAATTGACTCATTTAATCTTCAAAACCAGATGAGGTGAAGACACAGTACACCAAAAAACCATACAAGATAGGAACTATGAATATTTCCATTTCACAGATAAGGAAACTGAGGCACATAGAGTTATGTAACTTGCTCAGGATCATACAACTAAGTAGCACAGTTGGAATTCAAACCCAGGCAGTTAGATTCCAGTGCCTGTGTGTATAGCCACCATGTTATCTTGCCTTCCCTACACTATAGTGTGGAGGAAAACATTTGCTACACATTAAAAAATAGTAATATACAAAATGTATAAAGAGCTGCTACAGATCAAAAAGATAAACAACCCAATTTTAAAAAAGGATAAAAGAAGCTGGGCTCAGTAGCTCATGCCCATAATCCCAGCACTTTGGGAGGCTGAAGTGGAAATATCACTTGAGTCCAAGAGTCTGAGACAAGCCTGGACAACATAGGGAAACCCTCGTCTCCAAAATAATTTTTAAAATTAGCTGGATGTAGTGGTATGTGCTTGTGGTCCCAGCTCATTGGGAGACTGTGGTGGAAGGATTGCTTTAGCCCAGGAGGTTGAGACTACAAGCAAGCCATGATCACACCACTGCACTCCAGCTGAGCAACACAGTGAGAACCTGT